AACGGAGTTCAGCCAATTGTGTTTACGTCTCCGGACTGCTGCAGATCTTTTACTAAGAGAGAAAATTTACAGGTGTTTACAAAACACTCACTACTCACAAGAAAACTCTCTAGTATTGGGAGAAAGAAATAATTTTTTTTGGGATGGTTTTGAAGCTAAATGAGCTAGGGTATTTATAGTTGAAACTTAAGGACTTAATCTTGTAAATACCCTAAAACCTAGGGATTAATTGTGATTATCACATTATCATTTTTCAACAAACATCTACCAAACTTTGAAAAACTATTTTTTAAAGAAACATTTACCAAACTTTGAAAACCATTTTTTCAAAGTTGGTTACCAAACTTGAAAACCATTTTAATACTTTCAACAATCTCCCACTTGAAGACTGATTTTAATCTGTCTTCAAACCTCGATCAATGCAACAGTTTTTCTAGTCTTGTTACTCTAGCATGCCAACTGAAGTTGAACACAACTTCAGTTTGTTTGTAGTCACCGTCTTTGTCAACATATCTGCCGGATTTTGAGTTCCACTGATCTTTTCAAGTTTCAAAATCTCATCTTCCTGAAGAGACCGGATAAAATGATATCGCAATTGTATGTGCTTTGTCCTAGAATGAAAAGACGAATTCTTTGCTAGATGTATAGCACTTTGACTGTCGCAATACAAGATATTGTTTTCTTGTTTCTTGCCTAACTCTTCCAAGAAACTTTGGAGCCAAACCATCTCCTTGCTAGCTTCCGTAACAACGACATATTCTGCTTCAGTTGTGGAGAGAGCAACTATCTTCTGTAGTTGAGAAACCCAACTCACTGCGGTTCCTCCTAGAGTATAGACATACCCTGTAGTGCTCCTTCTGATGTCAACATTTCCGGTTAAGTCAGCATCTACATAGCCTGTCAGTATCGTATCTCCACCTTTGAAACAAAGTGCTTTGTTTGTGGTACCCCGCAGATATCTGAGGATCCATTTGACTGCTTCCTAGTGTACCTTGCCCGGATTATTCATGTACCTGATAACAGCTCCCATTGTTTGAGCAATATCTGGTCTGGTACAAACCATGGCATACATCAGACTTCCAATCGCTGAGGCGTACGTCACCTTCACCATGTGTACATGTTCTTCCTCCGTCTTTGGTGACTGTTCTTTGGAGAGTCTGAAATGAACACCTAAAGGTGTACTTACTGGTTTAGCATCTTGCATGTTGAACCTGGAGAGTACTTTGTTGATGTACTCAGCCTGTGATAATATCAAAGTCCCTGACTTTGTGTCTCTCTTGATCCTCATCCCAAGAATCTGCTTTGCAGCGCCCAGATCCTTCATGGCAAATTGCTTTGACAATTTTTGCTTCAAGTTTATAATCTCTTGCATGTCTGAGCCTGCAACGAGCATGTCATCAACGTACAACAATAAAATAATGAAGCTATTGTCGAACCTCTTGATGTAGCAACAATGATCTGCTTGGCATCTGGTAAACCACTGCTACTCATGAAACTATCGAACTTCTTGTACCACTGTCTAGGAGCTTGTTTTAAACCATACAAGCTCTTCTTCAACCTGCATACCAGGTTTTTCTTGTCTGCCTCTATTAAGCCTTCTGGCTGCCTCATATAGATTTATTCCTCCAAATCACCATGAAGGAAAGTTGTCTTTACATCTAACTGCTCAAGATGTAAATTCTCTACAGCTACAATTTTCAACACCAGTCTGATTGTAGACAGTTTCACGACTGGAGAGAAAATTTCATTGTAGTCAATACCTTCTTTTTGCTGAAAACCTTTGACAACCAATCTTGCTTTATAGCGTTTTTTCCCATCGTGCTCTTCTTTGATCCTGTAAATCCACTTGTTGTGAAGCGCTTTCTTGCCTGGTGGTAATTCAGCTAATTCCCACGTCTGATTTGACAAAAGCGAGTCCATCTCATCTTTCATGGAAGACTCCCACTTGACTGAATCCTCCACTTGCATTGCTTCATCATAGCACTCTGGTTCACCATTGTCAGTCAGCAACAAGTAGTGCAAAGAAGGAGAATACCGTTGAGTTGGTTTAGGAATTCTAGAGGAGCGTCTCAGTTCTGGTGTGCCTGGTTCTTCCTCTTGAACTGCTTCAGGATTGATCTGAACATCATTTCCAGAAATCTCTCGAACTCAGCAAATTCCTTTGTTTCAGCTTCGGTATTACTTGATTCTGCGATTGACCTGTCTTTGTACATCATATTTTCATTGAAAATGACGTCTCTGCTTCTAATGATCTTCTAATTTTCGTAGTCCCAAAACCGGTAACCAAACTCATCACCACCGTAACCAACAAAGGCACATTTGTTGGACTTAGCATCAAGTTTACATCTTTCAGCAGAGTCTATGTGTACATAAGAAATACAACCAAACACTCTTAAGTGTGAAAGGTTTATTTCTTTCTTGCTCCAAACTTCCTCTGGTATTCTGCCATCCAAAGGAACTGAAGGCCCACGGTTGATCAGGTAAGCTGCAGTGTTGATAGCTTCAGCCCATAGAAATTTGGGCAATCCAGCATGTATCCTCATGCTTCTGGCACGTTCATTCAGAGTTTTGTTCATGCGCTCTGCTACGCCATTCTGCTGCGGTGTTATGGGAACTGTTGTCTCTATCTTGATCCCATTGTTTGCGCAGAAATCTCTGAATCTACTATCTCTGTACTCTCTTCCATTGTCAGACCTCAACCGCTTGACTTTTAAACCAATCTCATTTTCCACCATGGCCTTCCATTTTCTGAAGGTATCGAAGACTTCTGATTTCTTCTACAGAAAATAAACCCACACCTTCCTTGTTGAATCATCGATGAAGGTGACATAATATAGTGAGCCTGTAAGAGATGGAACTGGGGATGGTCCCCATACATCAATATGAACCAATTCTAACCTTTCTGCCTTGGGTGTCTTACCAATCTTTGTAAAACTGACTTTCTTTTGTTTGCCAAAGATGCAATCCTCGCATAGTCCGACATCTACATTCTTTAGATCCGGCAGCTTCCCTTTTGACAGAAGTATCTTCATTCCTTTCTCGCTCATATGGCAAAGTCTTTGGTGCCATAGGTTTGATTTTCCATCAACATCTGCTACTGTAATGATATTCTCTAAATTTGAGGTTACATAGAGAGTACCAGTCTTTTTACCACGAGCAATGACGAGTGCTCCTTTGGTAATCTTCTATTCACAACCTGAAAAAGTTATATTGTATCCTTCTCCATCAAGCTGTCCTACAGAAATAAAATTTTTTTGAGACCAGGAATATGTCTCACTCCTGTCAGCTTCCAGGTGGTCTGGTTTGGCAGCTTTAGTCGGATGTCTCCTTTTCCGACGATCTTCAAGGTTTCATCATCAGCAAGATGAACCTTCCCAAAATCACCACTGACATAGTTCTCCATGATTTCTTGGCATGGCGTGGAGTGGAAAGATGCCCCTGAATCCAAAATCCATGATTCAATCGGACTGTTTACGCTTAAAATCATGGCATCACCTGTCTCATCCGTCATGTTGGCAGATTCCTGTGAGCCGGTATTTTTCTTCGGTGCTCGGCAATCTCTTTTGAAGTGGCCCTTCTTGCCGCAATTATAACAGGTAAAATCTTTATTTCATGTTCTTGATTTTCCCCTTCTAGATTTCGATCTGCCACGATTTGAATTTCTTTCTGAAGTTCTCCCTCTGGACTCCGTGTGCAAGGCTGAGGAGGTTGATGCTTCACCCGATTCTCTCCGTCGAATTTCTTCGCTCAGTACCAGATCCCGAACATCGTCGAATTTTAATTTGCTGTTTCCCGACGAACTGCTGACTGCTGTAACAGTAGCATTCCAACTGTCTGGTAAAGATGATAAGAGAATTAAAGCTCGAACTTCATCATCAAATTCAATTTCCACTGAACTCAACTGGGTTGTGATTGTGTTGAGTTCATTTAGGTGTTGTGCCACCGATGCCCCTTCCGTCATCCGCAAATTGAATAATCGCCTCATCAAATGAACTTTGTTTGAGGCCGATGACTTCTCATACATACTGGAGAGAGCCGTCATAAGACCCGCCGTGGTCTTTTCCTTTGCTATGTTGAAAGCAACATTGTCGGATAACGTCAGTCGGATAACTCCGAGGGCTTGTCTGTCGAGAAAAGCCCAGTCTTCATTCTTCATGCCCTCTGGTTGTTTTCCTGAGAGGGGTTGATATAGATTTTTCTGGTATAGAAAATCTTCAATTTGCATCTTCCAAAATCCAAAGTCCGCACCATCGAACTTTTCAATTTTCACCTTCCATTCGTCTGCAGCCATCGCTCCCACTCGAATCTGGCTTCGTTTGGATCGTTTCTGACAATTTTTGCGAACCGCCGTGTATTAGAACACCTCCGTCGACAAACTCGTATCGTCGACCGAATTTCACTATTCACAAAATTCACTATTCACGTAAATAGTAACCCGAATAGTAACCTCGCAAAAAATTGACAAAATTCACAACCCAAAAGCTCTGATTACCAGTTGTTGGGAAATAAACCAAGTACAAGTAATTTCCCTATAACCAGATTAGTGAGAATGCAAAATAAAAACGGAAAAATAATATCCGAAATTGATAACGGAGTTCAGCCAATTGTGCTTACGTCTCTGGACTGCTGCAGATCTTTTACTAAGAGAGAAAATTTACAGGTGTTTACAAAACACTCACTACTCACAAGAAAACTCTCTAGTATTGAGAGAAATAAATGATTTTTTTTGGGATGGTTTTGAAGCTAAATGAGCTAGGGTATTTATAGTTGAAACTTAAGGACTTAATCTTGTAAATACCCTAAAACCTAGGGATTAATTGTGATTATCCCATTATCATTTTCAACAAACATCTACCAAACTTTGAAAAACTATTTTTCAAAGAAACATTTACCAAACTTTGAAAACTATTTTTTCAAAGTTGGTTACCAAACTTGAAAACCATTTTAATACTTTCAACATCTTTCAGCTTATGCCTCCCTCCTTCCCCAACGAAAAAAATATGGTGACGGGCTTTGGTAGCGGTCGATTTTTCCTGGGAAGCAAATGGCTGAAATTGGCGATCACGGGGATCATCATGCTAGCTAGTGTGACATCAGAGCATGAAACGGGGACATCATCTGCTTCAGCCGGGTTACTATGCATCAGTGATTGTGTAACATGTCCAGTCATTTGTTCACCGCCACCTCCACCGCTGTTGAAGTCATTATCGCCACCGTCACCATCGTCACTTCACCTCTCTCCGCCCGAACCTTATTACACCCCACGGTCCCCATCAGAATCTGAAGACACTCACTTCCCACCACCATTAGAATTTGAATTATTTCCTCCATCTCCATCTCCACCGAGGCCACCCCCACCCCCACCGGCACAATCATCATATTCTTCAAAGGCCAGTCCTCCACCGCCTCGTTTTGTGTACTTCTTCAACGCACCTCCAAGTCAAGGTCAAGGGCTACCTACAGGATTAGGACCGCACGAGTATCCCTATCCTTACTACTACTATCCATCAAAGGCCTCCCCTCTTTCTTTCCAGGCAACCGTATTACCTGTGATGTTGTTTTGTTTCACTGCTGTGTTATAATTATTGCATTGTTGAAGGGTTTATGTACAAGTTAAGAAGCCATTTTTCAAATTTTATCTTCCTTCATCTTTTTCGGACGTGATATTGTTGTGTTTGTATCTTATACAATTTAATTATAATTGATTATGCAATATTTTGATTTCATTTAAGGATTATGCTTGTATAAAAGTATATTTTGATTTCATTACAAATATGTATAAAATGAAGTTATATAACAGAAAAAATAAAAAAATTTGGATAAGTTTGGTTTGAATTAAAGAAAATATATATAAATTATTGTAATTATAATAATTTAAGTTAGATGAACTAGGATGAGTTTGGATTCGGTTTGCTTCTCTATTCAATACAGTACAGGCTAAGCTTAGCCTATACATAATTTGCATTTTCTGTGGACATGGGTCAGGCCTATACATGCTTTCATCGTTCTCTGTCCACTCCTATCAGAAACGTTTACTATGAAATCACTCGAAGGCCTAAAAGTAATTAAAATGGGCTGCAAATGTTGAAAAATGTACCCAAGGCGAAGGCTGGTTAAGCCCAAACAATCAGATTCACCAAATATGAAAACCCTAATCTCTCTTTCTCTTTTTTTTTTTAGATTCTTCTCGTACTTATGATTTATTGAATGAGGTGTTGTTGACGGTGAAGTGTGGGGTATGTCGACTGCAGATGATTTATCTTCTTTTATCTGAACAAAAAATTACAATTGATGATTTTTACATTAGTGATGAGCTAGAGGCAATATACAATATATGATGCCTAGAAGGGGAGAGGAGAAAAATTCTCTTTATTTGTTGGGTCTGAAGGTTTATATACTGATGCTTAGTGTGTGGATGTTAGAAATAGAGCTATAATTATTATTAGTAAGTCGACATAATTAATTGACTTAACTATTTTATGATAGATTTTGTCGATGATAGATCGACAATGATGAAACAAATGGACTATAATTGTTCGGAGGGCTCCTAAAATTTCAAGGGCCTTGATGAACCGATAACTTCCTCTTAAGGTATTGATAAACGGAGATGTACAATCACTGTTAAATCATTATATGATATAGTGTTTGAATTCACTGATACATAATTGTGACCATAATTAGTTTTTTTAAACAATGTATTTTAAATTAGCGCGATATAATTATTTAAGTCGAATTAAGAATTACCAAACAAACCTAATTATAGATAAATATGAATAGTTTAGGGGGGAAATTACTGTTCAACCATGCAAAAGAGGAAGAAACGCATAACCTAAGTTAATATCTGTATCATATATGAGATGAGTGAGACAGAATAGTTAGTATCCGACGGTAAAGATTGGCCTCTTCTTTTTTCCTTATCCCTCCATGGAGTCCTTTCCTGTGCATGCTGCATTCTTTATTTTATATTTTGAGACTGGTTAAGCCAAAACCCTTATAAAAAATGAATTCTTTTCCTTTATTTACCCTTTCATGAGACAAATCATAACATATGCACGCAATATGTATTACACTCAGATCTGCCATTAGTTTGATAAAGAAACTTTCACTTTACTAGATTTGCTTCACCAACCAACAGCAAGAATGGATTTGAAAGACTAGAATAACTTACATAAATGCTAAGCTTACAAGTCAAAACATGTTTTCTATATATATATATATATATATATATATATATATATATAAAGTTCTTTCTTTTCCTTTTCTGGATTGATTTTGCAAAGGAAATAATATCGAATAAATCAAGTGAACAATGTGGGGAGAAAAGGGAAACTGATGGTCTTCTTTAACCTTAATTAGAAACTTCCAACTTCCTTGTTAATGTCTACCTGGTTAATTTGAGGGGTTTCGAGAGGTCGTTTCGCTTGATCACGTAGATTCTGCAGGTTGTGCTTCTCTAGGACACCTCCATGTCAGCTTGAACACGTTTATCTACAGATCTGATGCAAAACAAGAACAAATTATTTGTAATCAACACTTTGACACAACAGCGGCGATCCACCATTGCTTGCACCTGCATCTTCATGTTAACAAGTTAAATATATATAGATACACCAGAGATACAAAAGAAAATATCTGAAATATATGATGATTTGAATTTTTAGGGGCTGCTCCGTCCGCCCATTCGGTCCATCCTTGGATACACCAATATATATATACACACACAGTAACCGGATGTCTGCAATATACACAAGTTAAATATATATAGATACACCAGAGATATAAAAGAAAATATCTGAAATATATAATGATTTGAAATTTTTAGAGTCCGTTCGCCCATTTGGTCCATCCTTGGATACACCAATATATATACACACACAGTAACGGGATGTCTGCAATATACACCTATATATCCATAATTTAATTATAGCTAATGAGACTGAGAGATCATGCATCTGAACCAAATTCAATCGAATTAGAGAACATATAAAGAAAGCCTTTACTTAGATATGTATAACCTAGATCTAGTAAGAAAGTCGGAAGATTTAATATGCAGTTAAATGAAACCCTAACTTATGAAGATGGAAACAGGAATGGAAACCGCAATACGGCAAATTATAGTATTCCTGATTTGAATCAGGTATTTGTTTTAGGCTCTGGTTTCGATGGAGGACGTTGTGGTTCAGCTCTAACACAGTATAAGTACAAACCAAATAGCCCATCGCAGTGATACGGCTATGACTGTCCTTCTCCACAAGTACATAAGGTAAATGAATCAGTACTATGAACAGTAAAACCTTGGAAAAATAAACAGAAATCCCTACCAAGCAGCCATTGTCTTTACACAAATAAGTAATAAAATTAAAGAACAAAGAGAAAGAGAGAGAAAGAAAGATGTGGATGACAGATAGAGACTGAGCACGCAGAGCTTCAAGCATGAAAGGCTCAAGCATGCAAGAAAGTACCCTGGGTGCTCACTCTCTTCTGTCACCTCGCTTACCCTAAAATCCCTTTTTTTAGTAGAGCAAACCCCATGCCCTGGAGCTGGATTTCTAGGATGAATTCCCAAGCTATATGATGACTTTATATATTATATACCCAGAAATGTCTCAATATTGTGCTACTGAAACATCTCTTGCTTTTGTTTTGCTTTGGTGTGGGAAACAATGGAGTTAGGGGGCTTTATATAGAATGGAAAAGGTGGTGGTTGCATCACGCTTGGAATAAATATGGGCTATCTGTTATTGGTTACCCTTAATATTTTAATACCATGTCCATAATTATAGAGAGTATAATGCATTAATTAAACAATTTAAGTGGTTAAAGACTAGGATTGTTATCTCTAGAGATTTAGAGTTTGAGCACGTTGTATGAATGTTTGAATGTCTATTATTAAATGATTGATAATCTTTTGTATATATATTATCTTATAATCATTCCAGACTAATCCAAAAATAAAGTATAATATTTTTCAATTATTATTATTAATTAGAAAAATTAGTGTTAAATATTTTTTTATTGTTTTTAAGTTATTTAACATATTATTTAGTATTTACCGTAATAATTTTATTTTAAATAACTCAATTTTTCAGTGAATTGATTTTTTTTTTGACAAATTATAAATCTAATATTAATCCTACCTAGAGGATGAATGAATGACACCAAGATAAGGAAGGGGAGTGCTCCTAATGAGGTCTAAAACTCATGACCTAATCAAATATGAGAGAACAAAGACGAACAATTTGACCAACCGATCAAATACACTTGCTTTTAATGAGAAGAAATTTAATTTTAAATATTAGATTTAAATATTATTTTTATAACCAAGATTTATGTATAATAATCTTGAATCACTCTTCTAGCGTTATTTTGATTACTATCATTGATGATGTAATAATCTAAAATGTTTATGGATTTAACACATTCAAACGTCGTAATAGGTTCTGATATTTAGCAGCGTTTGTTTTAAAATGCTGCAATAGGTTTTGAGATTTAGTGGCGTTTTCAGTATATAAACGCCGCTAAAGGTCTGGCATATAGCGGCATTTTTATAATACAAACGCCACTAAAGGTCTGGTATATAGCGACGTTTTTAGAATACAAACGCCGTTAAAGGTTGATATATAGCGACGTTTGTTAAAAAAGGCTTTAATTGGTGTTAATAATTTGCGACATTTTTTGATACAAAAGCCGCTAAATGTATGATATATTATGGCATTTTTTATTACAAACGCCGCTAAATAACACAGAATTTAACAAATTAAAAAATATTATCGACTACCCCAAATCTGTTTTTTCAATATGATCCATTATCCAACAAACATGACAACAATAACATCAAACTCTCTATCCATAACAATCAACATCAAATCCAATATAATAAATAAAAGTTTTCATTAATGTAATATAAGTTCAGTTAAACACGGTTCAATAACATTAACAGAATGCTGATAACATAAATGAGACTATGATGGTGGATTTTGAGGTTGATTTTTTTGTATCATATACATCATATCATTGAGTCATTTTTCAAATTCTTCACATCTCTGCTGATATGTTGCTTCTCTCTATACTGCCACAGCTTCCCTTGCTTCATTTTCCGCTTTCAAGTTAGCCATTTGTTGATCCATCTCAGCCAACTTTTGTTTTAAATGACTAACTTCTAATTGGGAAGATTGAGACTACAATGACGTATACTGTGATGAACTGGATCCAAAATATTTGGTGGGAGTAACAAATGATCCTTGACAACGCACCCGACCATATCTTTCAGGACCCAAAACGTCATTAATAGCTCGATTTTCAATGTCATCATCATTAACAAGACCTTGACTCGAACCAGTCGTATAATACTCCGCCCTTTTCTCCCTCAATTTATCCTAGTAATAAGGTAAATAATTAATTAAAATAAAAAATGTCATGGTACAAATATAAATAAAGTCAGGTAAATTTAAAACATCTACCCAATAAGCGTACCATAATTTCTGCAGCTTCAGTAGTCATAGGAGCGCTATCCTTCTTCGTATGTGTCATGTCGAATAATTGGATGCGGCCAACTTTAGAATCGGATGTATTTTCCGACAAT